CAATTCTTGAAATGTATGAATGTCTCCTTAATATACTGATTCAAAAGCATGTCCAATGTGTCACCACAGGCTTTTTTTTCCCAGGTTGAAGTATTGGCTTTTCACTAATTAAGATACATAATTTTTCATTTAACTAAAGTGAGTAATACCAAAAAATACTATTTAACCATAGTTAAATGTTTAATATTAAACAAGGGTGGGGACTGAAAGTTCAGGGGTGAGTAATGAGCAAAAGAAGGGGGCTTTAAAATCTTTGCAAACGCTGAAGTGAGAATGTGAGAGCTTACTGTTTAATTCTGCTCAGATTCTGTATCTCATTGTAATCAGGAGGCTTAAAACATTTCTAACCTGGAAGTAACCCACAGCTTAAGTTCCCCTCAGAACACTTGAGTTAAAAAGAAGAGACTGAAACTTGGTGTAAAGTGCATCATTTCCCAAACCTTCAGGTTTCTTGTCATAGTGACAGTTTTAATTGATAGTCTCTCCACATCATTCTTGGGTTCTTTTTAAATTTGTGGCCAGACAGCTACCGTCATATTTGGATAGTGAAGCAGGTGTCCAGGAAAGGAAAACAAATCAAAATACTGAACATAATGGTTCAACAAATTTTAGTTTTCACTGGATTTATATTGAGAGTCTAAATTCTACAATAAACTTGTAACACATTTAAGAATACTTTCAGACATTTTAAAAATTACAAAAATCCTTACATGAGGTTTTCAATATTATTAGTCATGAGGAAAATAAAATGAAAATCACAGTGAGATACAAAACTTCACACCTAGTAGTCCAAAATCTAATCCCAAATGGAAATGAGAATATGGAGAAACTAGAACCCTGTACCTTGTTGGTGAAAATGTAAAACGGTGCAGTTTCTGTAAGCAGCTCCTCAAAAACATGGAATTCACCATATGACCCAGTAGTTCCATTCCTTGACTCAGGAACATTGTGTGCCAATGTTTATGGTATCATTATTCACAATACCAGAAGAGGAAACAAGCCATGTGTCTTAACAGATGGATAAACAAAATGTGTTATATGTATGTATGACAGAAAAGGACTTCATTTATATGAAATATTTAGGCAAATTCATAGAGGCACAGATTACCAAGGGCTGGGAGGAAGAGGAACGGTAAGTTAGTGCGTGCTTAATTGTTTCTGTTTGGGGTGATGAAAGTTTTGAAAGTGATGGTTGCACAAGAGTTAATATAATTAATGCTACTAAATTGTATACTTAAATGGTTGAGAGTAAGCTTTACTTTTGTTTCACCACAGTAAAAAAAAAAAAAATCCTTTAGAAGATGAAAATAGTTACAACCTGGAGAGGCAGAAACTGACAAGTTTGTATTCTGTATTAAAAAAAAAATTCTTGTTAGAACTATGGCCAAGGTCATCACAAAAATACAAGTGCATCCGTGGAAGTGTGTAGTTCCATCACCCCAGCACTAATGCTTTCTTTGTGATGCCTCCCCTGTCTGTTCATACTTGGAGGGAATAAAAATAGAAGCTGATTATGTCCATGAGGGTCCTAGTGGAACACGGTGGCAGATCTTCCCTTGTGAAATTAGCATCACATTTTTTCTCCATATAGTACTGCCTCTCAACCTTGGCTACAACTGAAGTTACCTCGGAAGCTTTAAAACATGATTTGAGTCTCACCCTCTGGGTATTTTGGTGTTGTTGAACTGAGTGTAGCATAAGCAAAAGGATGGTTACATATAGCCAAGGCTCTACACCAGCACCATGGGGACAGTTATATTAATCACCAGAACAGTAACGCCATTGTTAGAATTGGTGTGGAGGGTCAAACAATGGCAGCCCTTAACTACGGCAAGTTTGTTTCAGACCAAGGCTGCTTCCCATCTTAGATAGACACTATGGTAATTTACTCTCTTTTGAAGTACTATGGGAAAATGAAGCATAGGCTCTAAAAGCACAGTGAATGAAAAATGGTAGCAAGGTATAGCAGTAAAGATGCTCTTTCAAGGGTTTCTGAAGTCTTGTGCCTTTATCACTTAATTTGGTTATCGCAGCAACCTTCTGAGACTAACAGAACAAGAATTGAAACACCTACCTTACAATTGATGAAAATGACCTCTAGTCTACTTACTGGTTCTCAAATCTGAGCATGCTTGCTGAGCCCCACTGGACTTGGATTCTGTAGGCCTAGGGTAGGACCTGAGAGAGCTGCCATTCAAACAAGTTACCAGGTGACTTGGCCCACGTAAAAGAAATGACAGCAAAGACTGGAATCCAGATTCTTGTAATTCGGTGCTCTTTCTACTCATGTCTGCCTTTGTAGGGTTTTGGTAAGTCTTAACAGAATGTGGAAAAACTCTTTCAAAGAGTCAAGAAATTGAGTTTTAGAATCCCACCTCAGTCAGTTGCGCTCCAGGAGCAAGGTATGGAATCTTGAAATCTGTTTCATGTGATAGGACTCAGAATAGGCTAGAGCTCATAAAGCAGTTCTGAGAATTAAATAACACTGCTTACATAGTAAGGAAGGGCTTAATAAATGTTATTAATGGTAGTAATACAAGCTAAAAAATAACTAGTGGAGAACACACTGAGTTGTACCTGAGACTTGTATTTAAAAGAAAAAATTTTTTTTGGTGTGGAATACCAGGTCATTCAGTGTTTTCCAGAGCCATTCAGCAGCTCAGTGGGGGATGGGACAACTCACAGAGTTAACTTTAATGCCATGTATTTTGGGTTTTAAGTGCTAGAGGAGTATCAGTTAAATAGGTGGGCTGCAGCAACAGAGCAGCTGTCTTAAGAACCAAGGGGGGCAAGGGCCCAGGATGCCTGTCACGTTCCCCTGCTGCACAGCCACACCCAACCGGGCGCACCCCACCCCAGAGTTTGGGCAGCGCACCCTCCACCACCTCTCCTCCTGGAGTGAAAGTGTTGGGCAGTTGCCATGGTGTCCAGGAGCTAGACAGCCCTTCTCCCACCTCCGCCTCTTACCCAGGGGCTCCCCCTGCCTTTTGTACTGGAGATGGCCATGGGGGCTAAAAGAAAAAAAACTAGGCGCGGAGTAAGGGAAGCTCATTTCCACTTTTAAACAACACAATTTTTAGCTTTGTGCAAAATGAAGTCGTGGACTGATAAACATGGGGGACCTGGGAAAAGCAGAAAATTCATTTTTTCCCCCCATTTTTGTTTACTTGTTACACCAAGGCACTACTTCATTAAAAAAGAAAATATACTTCATGGCTCTCAGTCCAGTCCTCTCCTCTTTGCCTGGTCTCCCCAGATCTAGCACATGCCTTGCAGCTATGGCACACTGCAGTGCTCCTAGGATCACCAAAGCCCTTTACCTTCTGCTCCTGTTGGTCCTTTTATGGTCAACTCCAGAAAGCCTTTCCTAACCCATTAGGTCTGGATCATCAAAAAAACAACTCCAGATTTTCTGTTATCGCACTATGTTAATTAATCCTGTTAACTTGTTTTTCTCCCCTATCCTGTGACAGAAACTAGTGTTTTTAACCATCCTGAGCACTAGGTGCAGGAGCAGAGGAGTTGTTTGCTAAAAATTCCTAGAATAAGTAAGTGTACATGTGCTGAAAAGATTCTTGCTCTCCATGAGCCTTGGCACAAAGTGTGCATCTCACAACTGCCAGTTCACAAGGTCATGGGCTAAATCAAAACCAGTTTCTTGAAGATTTTTCTAAGGAATTTTAGTATAAGCTCTTTGCACCTTAAACTTTTTTTACTTAAGTGAAAGCCTCTTCACTGGGAGGAATGGCAGACTACATTCATATAGACTCACCGCTATTCAACTCTCAAATCGGCAGCAAATGACATTCTGTGAAAAAGCTGCAGGTTTTGTGGCAGCAAGACAGTTGGGAATATGACTGGGAAAGATGGATTTCATAGTACTGCTAAGAATTATTCAGCCGATATTAAGCATTTTTATGTGCTAGGCAACAGCTAGCTGATCCCAAATACAGGATCAGGCTATATTTCAAGGGACAAAGGTTTATAAGACTATACAAAACTTTCCCCACTTGTTTGTACCTACTAATTGGGAAAATTAAAAGGGGGCATAAAAGGCCCACACAAGCAAACAAGCTCACTTTCTTGAAATGGTACCTAGCATAGTACCATCACACGTCAACAAAGGCATTCCATATACATCTTTGGTTGAAACAGAAAAGAGACACCCATATGCATTTCCAAATATGCCAAAACTGAATTCTCATATAATGTATCCTGCAACTAGTTCTATCCATTAAATGAAGACCATATTCCCTGGAAAAGTCACTGCTAAGAAAAATGAATGCCTGGGGGAGGGCAGTGAAATGAGAGATCCTATGTGACACCTGACTTTACATTCAGTCTGTCCTACCCAGGAACTGACTTCCGGCTGTACTTAAGATTCAGGAATAATAATGTAGTGTCCCACCCTCTTCATCTGATTCTAAGTAAATATGTTAACTAGATGAGCACTTATTTACATTTAAAAACAAAGCCTCCAGAAAGGTGTAAAGTTTATTAACATCTTTTAAAAAAAAAGATGGGACAGTAAACAGCTACTGAATTTGGGATAGTTCCTTATTTACAAGTTTTACTGCAGGAGGCCCGTTTTAATCAGCATTTCACATAATCAAAGGAGTACAGTTTTTCCCTAGAAATATCAGTATTTCACTCTCCAGGTAAAAGACTATTGAAAACATTGAGTGACTGCCCCAGTTAGAAACGGATAAGCGAATACCTTGAAAATATATAAAAAAGAGTAACTGCTACTTAAACATGAATTTTCACAAAATTATTCTTGTGCCTAATTCAGACAATTTACTTAGAAAAGCTGGCCTAAAAAAAAAAAAGCAACACATGAATATGTCTTCATTTTAAGTACATGCTCTCAAGCTAGTTTAAAAAGAAAAGTTGAATTAGGGTTTCCAGAGTTTTAGGAGTCCATCTTCACTGTAAGTAGCAATCAGGTTCTGATGAGGGTGATGTGCGATACCAATCACATCCTTCTCATGAACCTGGAATAGGTAAAGCACAGGATTAGGGTATACAGGTCTCCAACAAATCACTCTGAAGAAGCTTCCAGAGCTGAGTGGGAGGGAAGAAGAGTGAAGCTCCTACTTCTCACCAAAGGAATCAAGCCCAAGGCAGCCTCAGAGAGTGCTAACCAAACACACAAACCAAAAACTCAAACGAGGCTATCACATGGCTGATGACATTTTCTGTACTTTTCTTCATAATGTATAAATAACACTTTGAGCCAAACCACTCCTGCACTACAGTGGGTCCTAGTCGTCATCACCATTTTATAAATATTAAGCCAAGACAGTGGCTGAGACCAAACAATTCCTTCAGCTCAGTGAACTTATTAGTATTTTCCTCAACTAGAGGACACCTTCCACCTCATCTTGTTTTGTTCACATCTTGGATCTATACTGGAGGCTTCACAAGGCAGACGTGCCAACAGTTCACTCAAGAACAGTTTGAGATGAGGTTATTCTCTAACAGAGCTATGTGTATAATTTTTTATACATTCACCAGACCATTTCTTTTTCCTCGACTGCAGACGACTTCATTTTCCCTGCCCAACCACCCCTCTGCATTTGGGCTGTGGGCGGCATGTGACTAATTCTAATCAAAAAAGAATGACAAAGTAATATAAACAAACCACTTCCAGATGTGGGTCTTTAAAACATCCAGTATACCCCTTCAACTATCTTTTCTCCTTCTAAGATCTCAGGGGCCACATATTCCAAATGGCACAGCTAAAAGACAGGAGGACGATGCAATTTATATCACACTGTGACATAGTAAGAAACTTTCACTGTGTTAGACCACTGACATTTAAAGATTGTTTGTTACAGCAGCTAGCATTAATTATTCCTTGTTACTGATTGAGCCCTCTTACAACACAAAGCTGCTTAAAAAACATAATCTGATAGGATAATATACAAGTAACTTGCCTTTGAAAGGACACGGAGAGGACTAGCTATATCTGCCACTCTCCAATCGCCCTGGATAAGGTCTAACCAATCTAGCTGGCTAGACAGGCGTGTTCCCTTCCTCCTTCTCTGCTTTATGTACACCCATCCTATCCACGTGAAGCTGAAGGCTCACTATAAAGGATGACTTTTCCTGATACAGGAGTTAATTCCATACAATTACTTATGGGCCTTTTTTTTATTTAGTGATAACATTTTTACATTTTTTTATACCAAGGTTCACACAGATAGCAGTCTGGAAAAGGTTTACTTCAGAGTTCAGAGAGACATAAGCATTAACAATTTCTGTAGATGGCCGTAAGTCAGTAATACTTACTGTCAAAGTTCTCTCCAGTTTGCCAGTGACTGTGCTGAAACAGTAGAGCACAAAGTCCTCCCCTACACAGTAGATCCATTCACCACGGGGAGAGAGGGCACAGCAAACAAAGTCACCACCTTCTCTCTTACCAGAGCTGAAGCTTCTGACAATCTAGATCATTAACACAGCCCAAGGTAAAAATAAAACACCTGGATTAGCAACAGTTCTACTGCAGCAGTTTAAACTGACATCTTTATGTTATTTTGTACTTTGGTTTACTGTCATTTATAATTAGGTTACCAGTTCCATTCACCATGTCCTGAAATATTCAAAGGATAAGCTATCCTAAGTCAGTGGCAGACAGACATTTACAATTCACTTGTCCCAAGTCACCAATCCTACTCTTTAGTCTACTGAGCCATTTTACCCAGAAGCAAATTCGTTAGCATACACAGTTTCCTAAATCAACATACTACTGGTTCTCAGTGCTCTGTGGACCCATGCTCCCCAGTTTCCTCTTTCTAACAGAATGAGATGCCCTCTCCATTCATGATGGAACTGTCTCCAAGACCTTGCTTGCTCTATTTTACATACCATTAAGATCACCATAAATCAATGGAGAGAAACCAATCTCAAAAGGTTAAAAGGCTACATATTGTATGATTCCATTTAATTACTATTCTCAAAATGAAAAACTGTAATAATGGAAAACAGATTAGTGGCCGCCAGGGGCTAGAGCTGTGGGGGAAGGGTTTAACTATAAAAGTGTAGCACAAGGGAGTTTCTTTGGGAGTGATGAAACAGTTCTGTATCTTAATCGTGGTGGTTACATAAATCAACACGAGATGAAATTTCACAGAACTATTCATGTCCCACCTCAAAATGAATGCATGTAAAGACGTAAAATCTAAATAAGGTTTGTATGTGAGCTAACAGTGTTGTACCGATGTCAATTTCCTGGTTTTGACAACTGTACAATGTTTATGTAAGATGTTATCATTGGGGGATGCAGGTCAAGGGTGTACAAGAACTTTTTTTAAGTTTTTAAAAAGCCAAGCAGAAAACTAGGAAGTGGGCAACTATGGCTATTATGCAGTGTCCCAACAGGTACTGCAGACCAGCCATCTCAACCATAGGTTTGTCACTACCAATTTATCATTTATAGGGACTCAAGCAATGGAGAGAGAGTTCCATACACCAGCCCCTGCGTCTTCTCCATGCTCAGCAGGATCCCCAAGTGCCCAGCCCAACGTTTCAGTAGCATCACAACACATTCCCAGGGCTTGAGACCTCAACCTTGATACTCCTAATGTCCCTGGTGCTATAAAAGTGAGGTTCCTTGGGAACCAGCAGGTGTTCTGATTATAAATACACATCATAAAGACACTGTTGCCCTTCTCCTATTCGAGTTCCACCTTAGATCACATAGTAGCTAGCAGATGTCCCAAGCTGGTAATCCATACACTGTATCTCCCTCACTCACACAGGGATTGTTATATCAAAATCTTCAGTGAGGTTCTGCAGGAGGCTTAAAGACAGATCAGGGTCTCATTTATCCAAAGGATGCAAAAGAGAACAGTATACAAACATCCTGGGGAAAGTAGATTAACTACTGAGGTGCCAAAAAGATGTTTTGTAGACATAGAATTTAAAATATTAAATATGTGTCTGAAAAACAAATATAGTGTATATGGTTTTCCAAGTGGTGAACCCATATTTGGTTACTGAAAGTGCCAGGACCAAGACACGCTGATTTGGGAACAGCCCACAGGGCTTGAGCAAAGGCACTTTCTGAGCACTCACCTGTCCCTGCATGTTCATGATGACCACTGTGTTTGATCTGTTGCAAACCACAAAGTGCTCTGGGTTTTTAGGAAGCAGTATCACGCTGTTGACAGTGATGTCTGTCCCTGCAGTGCTGCCCAAGGATTTAAAGGTATTTGAACATTCTGTGGTCTTCATGTTCCAGATCTACAACACAAAAATATAAGGCATAAACATTTGGGGGGCGGAGGAGGAAGGTTAACAATGTCTAATGTTTTGCAGTTGAAAATTATATTACTAAAAAAGAAAAAAATTGACTCAGAAAAAAAAGCTTCTTACAGTCCAAATACCTAGCACTGCCATATACATAAGAGCTCCCCATTTGCTGATTAACTGGTATAAACAAAATAAAAATCAGAAAGTGAAATAATAAAACCCTTTTAAAACTTATGATCTTTTCCTACAAAATTTTCCTTGGCTGACAAGCTACCTATCTTTAATATCAGCTATGTGTCAACACTGCTACTGTCATAAACAACCAGAAAGCTACCCTTCTCTGGACACCAAAATGAAATGAGGGTTTTTTAGATTTACATGCTCAGGACCCTGAGATTCAGACTTGGTAGGTCTGGAGTGGGATGTAGGTTTGTGCAATTTTTTTAATCTTTTTTTGTTTTTAATTAATTAATTATGTGGCTGCGTTGGGTCTTCGTTGCTGTGCGCGGGCTTTCTCTAGTTGTGAGCAGGGGCTGCTCTTCATCGCGGTGTGATTGCAGTGGCTTATTGCAGTGGCTTCTCTTGTTGCAGAGCACGGGCTCTAGGCATGCAGGCTTCAGTAGCTGCGGCAGGCGGACCCTAGTGCACATGGGCTTCAGTAGTTGTGGTGTGAGAGTTCAGTAGTTGTGGCTCGTGGACTCTAGAGCGAGGATGTGGGATCTTCCCGGACCAAGGATCGAACCCATGTCTCCTGCATCGTCAGGTGGATTCTTAACCACTGCACCACCAGGGAAGTCCCTGTGCATTTTTTAAAAGCTCCACAAGTGATTCTCAGCTTGTACTGAGAACCACTGCAGAAGTCACAATGTTAACAGACACACATGAGGATCCATGAAGCGGAAGCTACTCTTGGCCACTTGTGTGACCTCTCCCAGTCCAACATTTCTTCTGCTAATAGTTCTCCACCCTAATGCTTTTCACCTGGCCCTTCTGAGCTACTATGAACTGAAGTGGTTAAATCAGACATCACAGTTATTAAAATCTGAAATGTGCTTAGAGAAGGGATGGACCAACTATTGCCTGGCATCGTCTGGACAGCACTCACTTCATGAGGTATAAAAACTTCAAAGGCATGGACTATGTTGTGTTTCTTCTGTGCCTTCAAAGGAACCCAGCACAAAACAGATGTTGAATGAATACCTATAGAGAGGAGGAAATAGTTGCCCCACTAGTTGTCCCAGTATTTATTTTCTTAATAAATACTGTATCATCTACCCCAATCTCCTCTCCAAAGCCCAGCAGCCTAGAAAAGAAATGAACATTTCAGGGATCAAGAGTTCTAAGACTTCTAGAGTTTTCTGTCCAAAAGGTCAGTGAGATGCTTTACCCCACTTATTGCAGAACTAAACGAAAAGACCACAAAACAAAGAGACCTACACAAGCCACCTCCCAATGGTATTTTTACAAGTTGTGAGGCCCATATATTGATACATAGCACAAAGAGGGCAAACCGCATGACTAAAGCACTAAGAGCTCTGTGTATTTCGCCACCTATCCTGAGGAAGAGTACATCTCCTACCTTCAGGTTTCTGGTTCAATTCCCAAGCCAGAAGAAGCCACTGCAGAAGGTGGTCTGACTGTTAGGGATTTGTGTTAGAATGTTTAGGTCTTCTGCCACGTAACACTCACTTACATAAGGCAATTTAAAAGCAGATCTAGAATGTAAATGGAGTGTCTCAAAGATCTCTAGTGATTTTCTATTTGGATTTCCCATCTTTTATAGGAAATGAGGCCCTCTGTTGAAATAACTAAATCTCTTAAGGTACCGAAGAGCCACTACTTTCAGATGAGAGCTGAAGGCAATAAATAAGTATCTGAGAGGACTTGGTTCTACTCTATGCCCCTGTTGCTCCTCTTTAAATGCTATTAGAAAGGCCCCAATGTGGAGGCTCGGGGTGGGATGAGGCTGGCCTATTTATTTAGCCACTGAGCTCTTCGTGAACTTGTTGCGGTGGACCGTACCTATGGCAAGATAGAATTTCACCACTGTAAATGGGGGTGGACTTAAGTTTAGAACTCCACACCTTTCCTCTTTTCCTACACATGATAGTGTCTGTAGGTTTGAGATTTGAGGTCCCTAGGCCAATAAGAATTACCACAGAATATTACTACTGTCACAGACTCACCTCAATTATGGCTAAAATACTTAGTAAAGAGGTTTAACCACCACAATTATCACCATTATCACCACTGAAAACTCCTCAAAGGGCAAAAGTGGAACAGACACCCCAAAACAAACCAGTAGCAAATACTTAACCTTCACAGTGCCATCAGAGGATGCACTAATAATATAATGCCCATCCTGTGTAAATGTTGCTTCATTAACGAAGGAGGAATGGCCACGAAATTCCTTCAGGGTTTTTCCAGATTTTAAACCATGAATTCTATCACAAATAAAAGCAAATGAAAAGAACAATTAATATTCTATATATTATGGTTGGGACCAACTGTTGAAAGGATTTTAGATGAATTATAGAAGCTCATGTTAAAATATTAAATGAAGAATGAGGGCTATGCAGTTATGTATGCAGTATTATTTTCATTATGTCAAACAATCAAACAAAACCACAACAAAAGCTTTGCACAGAGACTGGAAGAAAATATGCCAATAATACCACAAGCTTCTGTTCAGCAACGAATTTCTAGGTCTCTGCCGGGTCCCAGGAATCTGTATTTGTCACATGTCCTCTAAGGTGACTCTGAGGCAGGTGGGTCCATAGACCACACTTTGAGAAATATGAAGTACTGCTATAATCCCTTTCTAATCTCTCTTCTAGGTAAAGACCCAAATGGACAACACAATAGCACTGTGTCAGCTGTACTTTGGGGAAATAAGGTCTCACATACCCTCACTCTCCATATAAAAGCATCCTGGTGAAAACAAGGAATCACTAGTACCTCCCTGTAAGGCTTCACCATATTAAACCCAAGTGAGGGCAGTTTGGGGATTCTTTTTTTTTTTTTGCAGTACGCGGGCCTCTCACTGTTGTGGCCTCAAGCACAGGCTCCGGACATGCAGGCTCAGAGGCCATGGCTCACGGGCCCAGGCGCTCTGTGGCATATGGGATCTTCCTGGACCAGGGCACGAACCCGTGTCCCCTGCATCGGCAGGCGGACTCTCAACCACTGAGCCACCAGGGAAGCCCCTGGGGATTCTTACTTACCTAATTGTCTGGTCAAATGAGGCACTAAGGATCTGACTGCTATCCTTAGAAAAGCTTAGACAGGTGACACCTTTACTGTGTGCTCTTTCAAATCTCCTTAAACACTGTCCACTCTGAATCTTCCATACCTTTATTAAAAAAAAAAGAATAGTGAAAACCTGTAAATACTGTCCCACTCTACTCTGCAGAGCCAAGCAAGATGCAGTGCTCACTAATATGCTAAAAACAGCATTAAAAATGCATGCTAATAGCTGAATATGATATGTCTGGTTCACACAGTACAATGATAACTTGAATCCTTTGAAACTTAAACCTCTTTCCTTTTAAATTATTAAAACAAAAATTCAGACTCTAAGTTCCCTTAGCAGAGACCATTTCTGTATTTTATCTAGCCCAGGGGATTTTAGCAGCAATTAAATACAAGCCACAGCTAATCAACTGCTAATCACCTGCAGACCACCCCATCCCCTAAGCACAACACACCATAAGGTGAGCCACAGTGGCACAGCAGAAAGGGCACAAGCAGATCTGGACTGAAGTCCCAGATCTGTCACTTACCAACTGTGTGACCTTAAATTATTGGACCTCCCTAGGCAGAGTTATTATTAGGATTAAACAAGAAAAACTAAAGCCACTGGCATAAAGCTGATGCTCCATAAAGAGTAGCTGTTATTAAGCAAAAAACCTATGTAGGACACTAACTCATTACAGAACTCTCAAAATGTCTACATACAAGAGTTCATGCCACTAATTCATACCTTGATTTTTCCATCTTGGGCACCAGTTGCTAACATTTCTGTATCTCTGCTGAAGCACATGCAGAGGACAGCATCATCCATCATCATAAAGTTATCCTGGGCCTGGTACTTAAGATCCTAAAGGAAACAATGATAAGCAGTTATCAAAATAACACAAAAACACCAGTTACCCCAGGTCTCTGCAAACTCACTAAAAGCGGGATAATTGGACTATGCCAACTCTAAATCTGCAAAGCAAATAGTGTCATGCACACTATTCTGATGAACAACTGATAATACTGGGAATAACATTTTTACACAATTCAAGTAACTATTATAAAAAATGCAAACATATTAGCCTACATCTTTTGCTTATGATCCTAAGCAAAATTTCCCTACAGTACATATTGTACATCTTTAATAAATCTGAATTTATTTGTTTTTAGGGTATGACATGAGAAATTAATGTTTTGTCCATACTGTCAGCTACCTTTCCTAAAACCATGTATTGATTAATCCATTTATTTGTTATTTTTCTTTTATCATCTATTACTGTTCATATTGAACTACATATATATATATATTTTTTTTTACATCTTTATTGGAGTATAATTGCTTTACAATGGTGGGTTAGTTTCTGCTGAAATATATTTTTTCTAAAGTATAGAAAGAGACTGCTTCATGGTTAAAAAAAAAGGTAAATTATAAAGAAATATACAATGTAGAAAGTGAAAGTCACTCATAAATCCACTAAGCATGGAGTGGAATTTAGTACTCTATGATCAAGATTACATTTTAAATCAGGGGTTAGTCAACAAGTAGCTATTTGGGAAAAAGTTAAGTTGGGTCTACACCAATTTTAGCACCCTAAACAAATGCCAGATGGATCAAAAATTAAACATAAAAAGAAACATAATGAAGGAAGTCCAAAGGTACAAACTTCCAGCTGTAAAATAAGTGCCATGGGGATGTAATGTACAGCATGGTGACTACAGTTAGTAATACTGTATGTATATTTGAAAGTTGCTAAAAGAGTAGATCTTAAAAGTTCTCATCACAAGAAAAAAAAAAAGCTTCTAACTATGTGTGATGATGGATGTTAACTAGACTTACTGTGGTGATCATTTTGCAATATACACAAATATTGAATCAGAAGCAATCCAAAAGAGAAATGGGCAAAGGACATGAAAAGACTTCACAGAATAGGAAATACTGGTGGCTTTTCACATATAAAAAGATATTCCACTTCATTCAGAATGAAACACAATTAGTCCTACAATAAGGTTAGAGTGGAAACAATAAGCAACTGCTTACATATACACATAGAATATTCCAGAAAAGTTACATAAGAAACTGGTAACCCTGAGTGGACCAAGGAAGGAAGGGAACTGACTGGCTGAGGGACAAGGTGGGGAACAAGACTCTTTACTGAATAACAGTTCTATTTTATAAAATGTTTTATCAGATTTACATATTACCCATTCAAAAAGTAAATTTAAATTGCAAAACTAACAGATAATTTAAAAACAGTAACAGATAATTCTCCCACTAGAAAAATTAATGTATTTAAAATACTTTACCTTCCTGATTTTTCCAGTCGTAAAATTCCATACTTCAATGAATCCATCAACAGACCCAGTAACCAGATACTGACCATCTGGAGAAAATCGAGCACACTCCACATGTGATTTCTGACCAAACTGTTTCAAATGAAACAATGAAACAGATGCATTTTTATGTAGTGGCCTTAAAACAATTCCCACTTTAAACTTTTGAGAGCTCTGTCCTAGCATAAAGCCATAGCTAGCCTGTATCATGGAGTTTGGGAGGGGTGTTTCTGTACCCAGACACCAAGAGATGCTAGATATATTTTCTCCGAACAGTTTAGCGTCTAGGCTCTCCACTGAAACTAGTTTTTGTTCTTGTTTTTGTTGTTTCTTTTTTTTAAATGAAGTTGGTATTTCCAAAGAAAAGCAAAAAAACTATTTTAGCAAGGGACTTAGAACAAATAATCCTGTTAACTCAAGCAATAAAGTTTTACCAGAATCAGCCACTGTTGGCATGACTTTCACACTCAACTAAATATGGCATATGTTCCTATTTTTTTTTCATCTGGGGGAAAAAATTCTTTTTTCAAAATAAATGGCTATTTTCCTCCACTATTTTTTAAACAAATTTTCTATCACTGCTTCTTTTCATGACCTTCATTTAATCAAGTGATAATGTATGGCTGACTAACTCTAGGAGAACTGATTAGAGCTGACAGATTGTTTGCCTGGGAAATGTATCCTGAGCATTTACCAGCAAAGATGCTTCCATTAACAGATAAAAACTACAGAACGTTAGACAGATGGGAACAGAGAAAAGCTCTATTATGAGTTTCATTTTAAATGCCAAAAAAGGAAGTGTTTATAACAGAAAATCTTAGTCCAGCAGGATAATTATAATGGATTTCTATTTGTCGCAAGGTTTTAACCAGGGTAAATAAAAGTGCTGCCCCAAAATACCTTTACATGCAAATCAAAACATATAATCCAGAAAAGACAAATTCAAAACACTAAGCCAAAGTCAAAGATTTGAGGAATATGAATTATTTTTAAATCTATAAATTCAATCAGAGCACAAACCCAGAAAGAAACTAATAAAAAGGAGATGCTAGGGCTTCCCTGGTGGCGCAGTGGTTGAGAGTCTGCCTGCCAATGCAGGGGACACGGGTTCATGCCCCGGTCCAGGAAGATCTCACATGCCACGGAGCGGCTGGGCCCGTGAGACATGGCCACTTAGCCTGCGCGTCCGGAGCCTGTGCTCCGCAACGGGAGAGGCCACAACAGTGAGAGGCCTGCATACCGCAAAAAAGAAAAAAGGAGATGCTAAAGTAGCAAATATGGTTGTAATTCTGAGGACTGCAACAATTATTTCATTATGCTTTTTCTTAGAAAAGTCAAAAAACAAAACAAAAAACACCAAGAACCAGCCATCAAGGTGATAAAATTATTTTCCTCAAACACCACTCAAGCCCACTTTACAATCCATGCCTGGTACTTTGCCTAACATGTAGCAAGCAAAAACACAAATGTTGAACAGGACAAATTTCATGGTTCTTAGTCCCAGGCTTAACCAAAGAGCTAAGCAGTCTTCCAAATGCAGGATTCCTTGGAGGAAGTCCAAGGGCAGATGATGGGCCAGATGTCCAATGTATGTCCACTCGGTAATACAGTTGAGGTGTGCCACTGCCTGGCTGCAGGGAGACCTCAGTGATCACCGGCAGCAACCATGAACGTTGTCAGAGCTGGAGAATGAGTTCTGCTCCCCAACCCAAGCTCCTGGCACAGGGCCTGGCTAAGCAAGCATACACTGAGTCCCCAACAAATGATTACCGACTGGCTGAGTGTCCAAGGATCCTACCTTAATATGCCTGCTCAGCTGCGTAGGAAACTTTTCTTCTTCCACATCTTTGACAGCTGCTTTGCCTCGGAACAAATCTATGGTCATACCAGGAGGAAGCAATCCCTGGTGCTGCTGCCACTTCAGTGCCTATGAGAAAAGAAATCCACTTGGGTGCTTTTAAGATCTGGTCCTGATTGTTCAGACAAAGCCTGAAACTGTGAGCCATCCAGACCCAACCATCTTTGGCCATCCAAACACAACATAAGCTCGGCTATTCTGTGTCCTAGGAACACAGGCTGATCTCAGGGTAGAAGGGGACTCTGAGAGCCAACAGGGCCATGTTTTTACACCTATTTTCTTATAGGTGTCTCTTATTATAAATAAAATTTGAAAAACAGAAATCTCCCATAGTTCCAACATCCAAACACAGCTACTGTTAGCATTTCATATGTTACCTTGTAGTATTTTTCCCCTGACATATATGTTTAATTTATATAGCTGTAATTATACCATATGTAAAATTTTATATTGTTTTCACCTATCATTAGATCATGCTATGACATGACTAACTAATACTGGCACTTCTGGGCCAGTTAAGTACGTGGCTGTACAATATATCCTATGTAGTAGATGTTTCACAGTTTATTTAATATATTAATGGACATTTATACTGCTTCTAATTTTTGCACTCATCTAAATAATGCTGCAGTGAACACCTTTGGACATAAGGCTTTTTCCATTATGAGCATATTCCCCACTTGCAATAGGTTCCTAGAAGAGGACTTACTGAATCAAGAAAAGAACACAAATGGTTAAGGCTCTTTATATACACTGCCAAAGTGTTTTCCCCAAAAGACACAACTTCAATAGCATTCACGACTGCATTATGGGGAGTAGAAAAACCATGGACTTTGAAGACAAATGGTCCTAGTTTGTCAACTATGCTATTCTGACTCCCAATTTCACCAACTAAATTCAGGGGAAAAGCCTAATTCCTAGAGCTGATGAAAGGATAAAATAAAATAATATATGTAAAGTCTATAACACAGGGACATGATCAATGTTGATTCCTTTTTCCCTTTACTATAGCAAGAAAACAATAATTTTGGATGTCATTTAAAAACTCTAATGAGTGGAAAGTTAGGCCCTACTTTAGTCAATTCTCTGATTAGAGTTTGAGCTTTTCTGCATGTTTATTAACTACATATATTTCTTCTGTTAGCTGTTTATTCATGTTCTTTGCTCACTCATCTATTGTGGTCTTACTATTTTTCTTATCAATTTGTGAGCTTTTAATGTGATCAAGACATTGTATTTGTTGTTTATGTTCGCCAAAAAGAATTTTTTTCCCAATCTACCCATTTTTTTTATTATAGCTTTAAAGCTTTCTTTTTATCTTAAGTTAAACTCTCAAGTAATGAAATTTGTTGACCTTTACCTTGGTGTTTACTCCCTACTCACAGGAAATCCTTCTCTATCAAGAGGTTTGATACATTATATCACCACCTAAGTTTTTCTATATTCTTAAAATACATAACTTTCACTCTATCTGAAATTATGCTTATAAAATATGAGAGAAGGCTCTAATCTGACATTTCTCCCCCATTCTAAAGTAGGTGCCCCAACACCATACACTTAATAATTCCTCCCTGTTCCTAGGTTCTGTGACATTCCCATTAACATCTATTGAATTCTTATAAATAACAGGATCAATTTCTTGCACTGCTGTTGCACTGGATGCCAAGTACCAAAATGATTCAAACTATAAACCTGTTAAAAGCTTCACTACTTCTAGGGCTACTGTGCTTTCAACATTCTTCCTTTCCAAAATTTCTTTGATGAATATACTTCCAAGTTTATTTTTTCAAGTGAACACTAGAAGTCTTCTGTGAAACAGTTCTAATCCTATTGTGATCTTTATTATAAACTGCCTTAAATCTAAGAAGAACTGGCATCAACATCAGTCTTATCCAGGAAAATCAATGTTTCACCATCTACTCAAATCTTCTTTCATTTCTCTTGAAAGCTTTGAAAGGCTTTTGCTTTTTTAAAAAGTGGAAATAAATCATGTATTACCCACAAAAGTTAATGCTAGAATTCTTACATTGTATGCTGTTGCTATAAACAAAAGCTCTTTTTTTCACTGAATATTCGAACTGGCCAGTGCTGATATGTAGAAATGTAATCAACTTTTGTATATTTTATATCTCACAACTTTACCAAACTTTTAAATTAATTCTATGATTATAGTTTAAATATTTAATGTTTATAAATACTATTAATTTTGTTTATTTCTTTCCAAAATTCATATGTTGCTTATTTTTCATATTTTACTTTAATGACTGGAGAACTTGACCTGTCTCCAATCAACAGGTATTCTCTACAGGCTCTTTACCCTTAGTCTACAGCAACTTCAAATCACTCCCAACTTTAAAAGGAAAAAACAAAAACGAAAACCCCTCTCTACATCACCCCTATCTCCTTCCTTTAACAACCAAGAAAGGAACAACTTGAGAGATGAAAAGGGAAGCCAAGAAGAAAAGGGTTAGAAAAACCAAGAGTGGAGTTTCATGAAGACGAGTGGTTATCATGGTTGAGAGCAACCAAGAGCATGGGGAAGATGAGGTCAGAAAGGAGTCTGTACTCTAGGTCGCATTAAAATTGGAACGACAATGCTAGTAATACTACTACTAAAAAAAAAAAAAAAAGAAAGAAAAGAAAAGAAAAAAGAAACACCGCCAGCAGCTACCAGTTACTGTGTGTTTACAAGGTGCCAGGCAAAATATAATTGTTTTAAGTACATTTTATCTCATTTAATCCTTACTACAACACCAAGATGAGTAACTGGGATCAAAAAAGTTAGGTAATATGCCCAACACCGCATAGCTGGTAAGTGAGAGAGCTCAGATTCTAACTATGGTAAACATTTGTTCCAATTTGTTTCAGACAGTGTTCTAGCACGATGATCAACAATGCCCTCAAGATTGGATGATAAATTCTATTGTTACCCTAATTCTGTCTCTAGAGTGTATGCCCTTAACCACTAATCTATACTGCCACTCCCAGGAAAGATGAATGTGGCATGGCACAGCTGTTGGTACAAGCAGCTCTACAGGTATTTCCCAGTTCTTAGGATGTCTGATTTCTTTAGCTCATACATAGACTTTATATGGTACAGGAAACACTACCAGGAGTTCAGAGTCATTTCAGTTCCACAGACTGTAATTACCTGACCCAGCAATGCCATGAGACGAGATGGAGGCACCACGCTGACTTCCCCAGCTAAGGCCTGGGCAATCGCTGCTCTTCTCTTCTCTTTGCTACTTCCATCGGGGTATGCCTGAAAAAGGAGCGGCAGTAGCATCATTTCCAAGAAATGGCAAAAGACATAAATGTGCTTATTTTTAAAAAAGTAACAGTAATCAAGCAGAAACATTCAAAAAGGAAAACATAAAAAGTTAAACAGAAGATTAATCAAACCATTTAGTTTTTAAAAACAACTTCTCAATTCTACCCACTTGCATTTCAAAAGTATGAGCTGAGAGAGAACTGAGGTCAGCCAATCCACACCATTATTTCTGAAAAGAGCCTAAGTAAACTATGTCAAAGCCAGAGTTGTTTTTCCAATTTTTGAAAAATCTGCAGAGCCAAGGATTCTTTTATATTCTTTAATAATTTTGTTCAGTCAAATGACTCCCAGCCCAGAAGTTCTTCACCACCTCTAACTTAAATCCTGTCCTGGCAATCCAAACTCCTTCCTTTATCCTCACGGTTTCTGTGAGTTTACTCTAACAACTTCCCATTATCCAGTGCCTATTAAATTCTTCTTCCTCCTATTTAGACAAGCTTCTAGTAAAAGGCTGGGTGAAAAAGAATGATACTATATTTATATATATATATATATATATATATATATATGGTTTTGGAAGAATAAAAGAATAACAATCATCATGCTCCAGTAAGCATAATCAGCTGAGAAGCAAAAACACAAGCTTTTAAGAACTAAAAGAACCAGGACTTCCCTGGTGGTCCAGTGGTTAAGACTCTGCACTTCCAAAGGGACACAAATGCACAGTGAACATACCAGCAGTAGAGCAGCACTTCTGGGCCAGTTAAGTACGTGGGCTAATGTGGAAATGATACCAAAATAAACTGTCTACTTTTTTACTAATCAACACACAATCCTATATGATGAGGTGTGTGGGGGAGGGAAGGTCCTCAAATACTAAATTAGATTATTCTCTTTAACATATGCAAATTTCAACCAATGTAAATAAACAAAAAAGTATGATTTTCAAAAATTAAATCAAAAATACGAAAAGTATCCAATAAAATGTTTTAAAAAGATCACATTATTGCTCAAAGTTAACAACAGTTTCTTTTCATTACCACCGTCATACCTCTCGAGGATCGAAATAAGACCTGGCCAAGAGGTTTTCCAGATGAATATACCGTTCTGGCTGTGTTTGTTTTAACATAATCATGGGATCAGTCTGTCTCAGAAGAGATCTGGCAGCACCCAATTCACGGAGCTCTATTAATTCCAAAACAACCTGTATAATTGAAAGAAAATGGCTGTCAATGCATTCGCTTATTAATTTTTCTTTTTCAGTACTATTTCTGACATAGAAATGGCCTATCAAAATGATCTCCAAATCACAAATCAGGAAATGCCCCTTCTCCTTTTCACAAGCAATTTCAGGCAGACAACTACAGTAATTGTAAAGTAATAACTTCAGTCCTTCATTTTTATCTACCAATCTCCTCTCCTCTACCAATCTCCTCTCCTCTTAGGTCTCTTACTCAGAATGTAGATGCTAGAGAAAACTAAAGATGGAAATATCTCTATAGGCTCCAGAGAAACCTTTCTCCAATTACCAAAATTTTCTTTAGGGAATTAACTAAACTCACGTGGACTGTAAAGAAACAAACCCATTTCCCTATTTTTACTTCAAACCACATGACATTCTTATTTCCAGAAAATCCACTCTGTTCTGTTATATAATAAGTAATTTTACGATCTATGTCCTGGTTTCCTGGCACACATCTTCTAAAAACCTTGGTATTTCCCCAGTGATAGAAATATCTTTGTTATTCATAAGCCCTCTGCATCACACCTGAGTTAGTGCTAAGGAGATGGCTCAGGACAAGGGCTGGCTATCAAAAGGACCAACCATATGATTAGAGGATTGATGCTCTGAGCCAGCCCAACCCTGCAGAGGGTCAAGGAACTAGAATTTGAATGAAATATCTCAATGGAGCTTCCTGGTTGGTGAATACTTTAATGTGCCAGGTAAGAGACAAACCCTAACTCCCTGGGGGGAAGGCACTGGAAATTCTGGTTCAGTACCCTCCCAAACTTCACCCTATATGTCTCTTCACTCAGCTGGTACTGATCTTTCCCCTTGATAATAAAACTGCAATCATCAGTATGTCACTTTCCTGAGGTCTGTGTCATTCTAGTGAATTATCAACTCTGAGGGGGTCATGGGGACCCTCAAATTTGTAGCCAGTTGGTCAGAAGTATAGATGGCCCAAAACCCCAAAGTGTGGCTGGTGTGGGAAGTAAAGACAGTCTTGTAGAGGACCGAGCCCTTAACTAGTGGGGTCTGCACTAACTCTGGGTGGTTAGTGTCAGAACTAAATTGCAGCACACTATTTGGTGTCAGAACAGTTGGTGTCAGAATAGATCATTCAATGGTCACTTAAGAAAGAATTTCAATTTGGGAAAATCTTGGCTTTTCCAAGAAGAGAAATAAAAATACAGAGTAGTTGGGCTTCCCTGGTGGCGCAGTGGTTGAGAGTCCACCTGCTGATGCAGGGGACGCGGGTTCGTGCCCCAGTCCGGGAAGATCCCACATGCCGCGTAGCGGCTGGGCCCATGAGCCATGGCCGCTGAGCCTGCGCATCCAGAGCCTGTGCTCCGCAACGGGAGAGGCCACAACAGTGAGAGGCCCGTGTACCGCAAAAAAAAAAAAGAGTAGCACTCAAGCTTTGACAGTGTAAATTTTAGGGCTGTTAAAGCCCCATAATGCTTGAAGAAATGTTCATGGATGCTTTCCAGTCAGGGGGCCCACAATAAACCAACATACAGGGATCAGCATCACCCCCACTCTTACCTGTTCATAGAGGTCAATGAGGGTTTTGTCTGGCAATTTCAGAGACTGTATAGCCTGTAAAACAGTGTCCCAATGGCCACTATTAATGTCAGCCACAAAACTCTCAATGCTGTCCACAGTATTCAGAGACACAGTAGTCTCTTCCTGCAAGGTGGCTAATGCCCGATGTAAACTGTTCTCCTTTAGGTACTGCATGATAAGACGGATCACACTGAAAGAAGAAAGCAAGTCATTCAGCTCATGGATCCTCACTCACCAAAGAGTTCACAAAATAAATCCCACCCCAGTTTATTTTTCTACACAACCATCCTCCTTTCACTACCTACTTTCCGTTTCTTTATCGTGTGAGTAAAACTTTCCAAAAAAATCACAGAACCTAAGCTACAAGATATCATCCAGTCCTACTTCCAACGCAGAAATAGGAGAACTGGGGTTCAGCGAAGGGAAATAATTTGCCCAATGTCTCACAGTCAGCTAGAAAGCAAGTTAGTACCAAGAAGACTCTCTTACTTCCAAGGTCAGAGATCTTTTTATTATGCCAAGTTTCTTATTAATTCATATGATTACACTGTTGCACACTATAGTAAAATACTTTAAACCAAGTCTAGTCACTGACACAAAATAAATGATTGGATGATTTGGTCCATTTTTCAAATGACAACAAAAAATATGAATTGAGACCTTCTTAAAAGGGATTTGTTGAACACAAATAAGTAGAGCTATACTGTATGTAAAAGCAAAACAAACTATGTGTCCTCACTTGCAAAAATAACACCTACCCACTGCCTTTATTACCAAATGTTCAAGACAAGTGAAATAAAAACATGTGGATTCAGTTTCCCAAGGAAAAGAGGACCCAGACAATCTCCAAATACTCAGAGAACAAGCAACGGTTTTCAGCATGTGACACGTCATTTCGAGTTAAATATATATAATTAAAGCTTCTTTTGTTGTTGTTGTTGTTTTGTTATTTTGAGGTACGCGGGCCTCTCACTGTTGTGGCCTCTCCCGTTGCGGAGCACAGGCTCCAGACGCGCAGGCTCAGCGGCCATGGCTCAGGGGCCCAGCCGCTCCGCGGCATGTGGGATCCTCCTGGACCGGGGCACGAACCCGTGTCCCCTGCACCGGCAGGTGGACTCTCAACCACTGCGCCACCAGGGAAGCCCGATATAATTAAAGCTTCTTGATCTTCGGCTTAGTGTTAAGGAGTCTAGTGAAGAATGTTGTTCATATAGACAGTAAAAGTTCACTTTACAGGCTATACTACACTGTTCTTCTCTTGCCTTAAAAGTAAATATGTGGCACACAAGATATTTCTACTGGACAGCACTAGTATCAGGGGTCACACTGTCCTGGTTGGAAGGGATTTCAGACTGGAATTTAGTCAATTCTCTTTCCCAGGAGAGAAATAATAAAAAATAATAACCAATGTTTTCTATGTGTTCACTATATATCAGGTACTGTTCTAAGCATTTTGGATTCATTTACTCCTCAAAACAACCCTATGAGGATGGCATTACTCTTACATCCATTTTACAGATGAGAATTTGACCAGGTAACAGAGATAAGTGGAAAAATGAAGATTCAAACTGGCAGCGTGGCAGGTGAACATACACCCTGGACAGGAAAGCAAACACCCTCTTCTTAAAAAGGGCTCCCTTCCTGCAGAAGGGAACTGATTACTGCTACTCACAGTAGTCTTTTCTCTCATGGCCCCTTTAAGAGATACCTGCTGTTCCAGTATCACACTGTCTTCCATAGCACGCTTCCATTTACACTCCCCAAATGAAACACCACACTTCACGCTTGGAAAGAACTCATATTTGACATAGCCAAAATCAAATTCACGTCCTTCAAACACAGTGTAATACATAAAGAGCTAAAAGCTTTGGAGATAGGCTGGGATTTGAGTCAGAGTTCTGTCACTTACTGTGACTATGGACAAGTCAGTTAACATCTCTTTGCCTGTTTCCTCATCTGTTAAGAAAAATAACTACTCTGTAGGGGTTGGTCAAAGAGTTGACTACACTGCTTATAGTGTGACTAGCATGGAAAATACTTAGTAAAAAGCAGCAATTATTGATAATGAAAACATGCAGCTGGGAGAATGGTTAGCTCCCACTTTGATTCAGGCTCAAAGCATGGAATCCTTTCCAACTCCTGCCCTGACTTAGGTGTCTTCATCGCCAGCACTCTCCATCACCCTTCTTTGCTTTACTTTTCTCCAAAACACTTACCACCATTTGCTAAGCCTATTTTACTTACTGCTTTTGCCTGCTGTTTGCCTTCCTCAATAACAATGTACTTTCTATAAGGGCACGGATTTTTGTTTGCTTCGTTCACTACTATATTCCCAGGGTCTAATACAAGTACACAGCAGACTTCAATATTTGTTGAATGAATAAACCTCCCTTCTTCCTATGGCAGACCTTGAGGACAAGTCCTCTCTCCCTTACACTCAGGACACAAATGATACGTCTGCTGATTTAATTATTAAGTGTTGGCAAGAGCAAGGTAGAGGATGGAATCCTGGAAAAGTTCACTAAAGACCTTCAGTCACTCATTAGCCCCCCTCTCCCCCAAGTCTATCATTCTCCTGGCCCAATTTCCACATTCTGTCCCTCCTTTGGGCTACACAGAGCTCACAGACTAACCAAAATTCAGCGCCACGTGGAACTTCATAAAATAGCTAGTCGCTCATTCATTCCAAAGACAATCACTCATTCATTCCAAAGACAATCATTGAGCCTCGACGATGTGCTAGGAACTGGGACTGTAATGAAAAGGAGCCCCTAGACGCCTACACAGGCTAGTAGGGTGGACAAACGGTGACAATACTGGATTAAGTGCTGGGCAGAAAAAAGCAGAGGGCCCTGTAAGCACAGGGGAGGAAACAAACAACACTGCTCACTGGGGGCGGGAAGAGAAAGAAGGCCGCGAGTGCGGCCCCCTTGTGCAGATTAGACCGGAGTCCAGATTGGATGGCTAATTTGCTCAGTCACAGATACCCGGAGTCGGCGAGGGCTAGAACTCAGGTCTTCCAGGCATGTCTTACCCCCAACCCCGCGCCGCCTCCCACCGGGCTTTGGGCTTCCCGTCCGCTACTTTCTTGTGGGCCCGCCTCCGAGGTAGCCAGATCCAAGAAGCTTCTTTGAGGGAAAGGAAATGCCCCTCCACTCCCCAGCCTCTCGAACGCCTCCCCCGAGCAGCTCCTACGACCCCACCCTTCGCCTGCCGGCCCCCGCAACCTCGCGAGCATCCACCACCACGGGACTCACTCCGAGGACTCGATTTCGATCGACATAGCGCTATCTTCCCTGGCGCAGGGGCCACTCCACTCTCAGGGCCAGTAGCGGACCGCACCAGCGACACCTCCGGCGGCCCCCGTACGTCACTTCCGCTCGACGTCCGACGCCCGCTCTGGAGGCGGTCTGTACGGAAGAGGGGCGTGGAGTGCGTGAGGAGCGGGGTTTTGAGAGGCGGAGCTTCGAGGGGCCGTCGAAAGTCGGAACCTGGGCGCCTGCTGCAGAGAATTTTCCGTTCTCCTCCCTAGAGGAAAAGTTGCCTTTAAAGGACTAGTTTTTTTGTTTGTTTTTTCTGCGGTGCGCGGGTTTCTCACTGTTGTGGCCTTTCTGTTGCGGAGCACAGGCTCCGGACGCGCAGGCCCAGCGGCCATGGCTCACGGGCCCAGCCGCTCCGCGGCATGTGCGATCTTCCCGGACCGGGGCACGAATCTGTGTCGCCTGCATCGGCAGGCGGACTCTCAACCACTGCGCCACCAGGGAAGCCCTAAATTTTGCTTTTTAAATTTTTAATTAGTTGACTAGATTTAAAGGTAGGGTTGATTAATACATTGGAAACCAGTGGGCCACTAGGCAACATTTGCAGGAAAATTCCTTGAGTGTTAAATAAATAAATGAAAGATTTTGAAGCCAAAACACAGTTTAATTAATCTAATTATGAAAAGTTGGGGACTCAGGATTTGCATACTCAATTCTTGGAACGAGCTAAATTACTTGTAACGTTTCCAACTAAGTATTTAGTTGAAAATGGTTTCACAGCAGAGGTACAATTACTGGAAAAACAATGAAACCAAATGCATATGTGTAAAGGGCGATTTGAGACGTCCTTTAATAGACTTTAAACCATACATTATTAAATTAGTAGAGACAAATGTAAAGATATCAATGAATTTCATAAAGATTATTTTTTAAAAATATTTTATTGCCATCCTATATAAATTTTAAAAAATATTTGCAGCACAATGATAAGAAATCTCTGCTGTGAAAATTACATATTGAAATGATTTATTTGGAGAGTTCCTATTGGCTGTCAGTCTTATCTGATGCCACCAGAGACCCTGGGGACAAGTTTTGTGTTTCACCTTGTGAGCTGAACTTTGTGTTCTTGCAGCTTCAGTCCAGGTGATAAAGCAGACGGAAGAAGGAAAAGCAAGAGACTGTCATACAGGGTGAAGTAAGTCAGAAAGAGAAAAACGAATACTGTATGCTAACACACATATATGTAATCTAAAAAAAAAAAAAAGGTAGGGGCAGGACAGGTATAAAGACGCAGACGTAGAGAATGGACTTGAGGACACAGGGAGGGGGAAGGGTAAGCTGGGACGAAGTGGGAGAGTGGCATTGACATACATACACTACCAAATGTAAAACAGATAGCTAGTGGGAAGAAAAAATAGCTATAAAAAAGAAAAAGCTAGCTATCTTTTTTTTTTTTAACTTTTGGCTGTGTTGGGTCTTTGTTGCTGCGCGAGGGCTTTTACAGCGAGCAGGGGCTACTCTTCGTTGCGGTGGCTTTTCGTTGTGGTGGCTTTTCTTGTTGCGGACCAGGGGCTCTAGGCACGCGGGCTCAGTAGTTGTGGCTCATGGGCTTATTTGCTCCGCAGCATGATGGGATCTTCCCAGACCAGGGCTCGAACTCACGTCCCCTGTGTTGGGAGGGGGATTCTTAACCACTGCGCCACCAGGGAAGCATGGAACAGGGAGATCAGCTCGGTGCTTTGCAACCACCTAGAGGGGTGGGATAGGGAGGGTGGGAGGGAGACACAAGGAGGGGATATGGGAATATATGTATATGTATAGCTGATTCACTTTGTTATCAAGCAGAAACTAACACACCATTGTAAAGCAATTATACTCCAATAAAGATGTTAAAAAAGAAGGAAAAGCAATAGAGCTCTCCAGGAAGGCTTGCAGCAAAGGCTCATCTTTGGACTCTGGACCATGCCCCTGGGGGTGCCTCGGGACTGCCCGGAGCTTCCCTTCCTTCCACCCTCCCCCTCCCTGGTTTCCAGGATTGACAAAGAGAACTTTTGTTTCTGGCCTTGAGTCCTAGTTTAAGTGCCCTAGCAGCAACCTCAAACAGGCAGAGGGGCCAGGCGGAATAAAGCACCCTAAAGAGTTTTCCTAGAACCACAAGCTGGCAGCCCCAGCAGGCTTTCACAGCCTCCCCACCCAGTTTCTGGATGGGGATCAGAGATAATCTGGTCTTGGTCACCTAGCCAGTCAACACTGGTCTTCCAGTCCAGGGCTTCCTCAGGTTTCTCTCCTGCCTTCATCCTCCCAAAGCCAGGCACCCCCAGCAGTGTGCTAGGATGTGTGCTCACCTCAGAGTTGGTGGAGGACCAGGGAAAGACCTAGCAGGCCTTGTTTCCTATGAAGAAAAGCTCTGGAAAGGTCTTCTGGAGAGTGTGGGCAGTGAACCTGCAAGACAGGGCAGACCCAAGGTGGCGAGAGTACCCACAGGCCCCACGGAGCCAGCAGGGCCAACGTCATTAGCCAAGCCCACCAGGTACCAAGCCCAGGGCCTGCGAGAGACGAAGTTGAGCCCCAGCACCTGAGTCAGAGACAGAGTGTTCTGAGCTGGCAGGCAGGGCCCAGGCTAGCATCTGAGAGACATTGCCCAACAAATTGGTCACAGTGGAGATTTCTTCCTTCCTCAGCATCAGATGGTCAGTTCTCCTCATTCCATGTCTCATTGTGGCTGGGTCAGCTTCCATCCAGAGCAAACCGCATGAAACATAAATCACTGAGGTCTGGAGTCTGATGAAGTTAAACCCAGCAGAGCTTTTTAGAACTCTTGATTCAGCCTGTCTAAAAACCATGAATCATCAGACACAGCCCCCGGTTTCATTTAGGAAAACGCCATTGGCTAAGAAGGTTTGGGAGGATTGGGAATGGTGCTGCGCTGCCCTCCTTTGGGGAGAGGGTGCACGGGGAGGGGGGAGAAGAGGTGCCTAGAAGGAAAAGGGAGAGCTGAGCAGGAGTCCAGGCCTCAGCAGAGCTGCCTGTCTCTCTGTCCTCCCCATGTCCCCAGCAGCCTTGGGACAATACTGTGCCAAGCTCCCCTGGACACCAAGTGTCAGCCCAGGGAAGGGACAGGACTGAGCACTGCAATGAAGCAGCTGTACTGTCTGTGAACCAGGGGCTGCTTCTCGCCTCACAGAGCGACGCTTCCACAGGCAAAAAGGAGCCCAGCTTCTTCTTCAGGTCTACGTGGGTCCTCAGCTCTCAGGGGTCTCCCTTCCTCCCTGTACCCATGATCCAGGCCCCCTGCATCCTGGTGGATTATTTCAGTGTTTGCCACTCCCATGTGTCTCCCAGATGGAGGCCGCACTAATGTCCCTGGTATAGGGAGCTGCTGCCACAAAGTATGCCAGATTCCCAAGTGCTCACAAACTGTAAAAGGAAAACCAAACAAAACCCAAACAACACAAAACAGAAACCAGGTCTTGGTTCTAGCCCCCTGTCTACACTGCACTTCCCTTGGCAGTGCTGCTGAGGCCAGGCTCGAAGCGAGGGCCGTGTCTTCTGGCTGAGGCTGGGCACCACTCGGCCTCAGGCCTCCAGCTCTCACACTGTTTTGTGGAGGGAGAGCAGCTGAGGCTGGATGAGTGGCTGGATCATGTTCTGTGGCCAGAACCCCGGGCTGGGACTCCTGGATCAGACACTAACTCTATGTGACCTTGTGCAAGTCACATGACCTCCCTGAACGTATGATTCTTATGATGGGGATTACTGTAATGAGCAACGCAGTGCAAAAAGGGCCAGGTGTGCTCATAAGGGGAGAAGCCGTGTGAGGGATCACAGTGGTGCAGCAGTTCGCCAAGTCCTCCTGTTCCCTCCCTCATTACAGACGTGCCTTTGGTGAAGTGGGGAACCAGAGAGCTGGGGCCTGGGAGCTGGCCTGTCTCCTGCGCTGCTGTCATCAGAGGAAAGCAAAGTCGCTGAACACAAAGCAACAGGACATTTCACAGAAAGGGAATACTCTGAAGGCCCCACCAATGGCCCAAGTCCCCGGCTGGATAACCGCTGGTGGCCCACCCTGACCAAGGCTCTCAGTGCAGGAAGCTCCAGCTGTCTGGGCCCCCGTGGAGATGAGCGAGGGGGTGGGGTGCAGGGCTCGGCACCCAGCTCTTGGCACCCCACCAGAGAGAGCGTCAAAGATAGTGGCGTGCACTCTTATTGGTCACAACCTGCTACCCTCCCTCCTGTGGCACATGCCTCCCAGGCAGGGACAAGGTCAAGGAGGACGTGCCAATTGTCTGGCACTCACATCTGGCCCGGAAATGAATCTACGATAGCTGCAGGCTTGGGTCTGTGTCAAAATCCAGATGTCAGGGCCTCCCTCAGCAGCAGGACACCTGGATTCCAGGGCCAGAGATCCACAGGCAGTGGGATCGCCCCGGCTTCCTGCTGGGTTCATAGTCCTCCCAGGGCCCTGATCAGGTGCCTCAGGCCAATCTTGCCCCTCCAGAGCCAGGGCACAGTGCCCCCATCCCCGCCATTTTTTCTGTTGGTTAACATTTTTATTACCCAAGTATAACAGGCACGAATATTTAATGGAACTCAGGAAAGAGTGGCAAAACTGTCCTAACTTTATTTTTCTAAATCCGAGAGAATTGCTAGAAGCTCTCTGGCCGGAATTGATCCCGTCCAGCCTCCATGAACATCCCCAGAGCATGCCACATCCCCCCTCAATGTGAATAGGGCACAGGCCTCCATCATTCCCCCCATAGGAGGAAGCCCCCGTCTCTCTTCCAAGTCTGGGCACTTTCATGGAATGCAACTCCCCTGGGGAGCAACCCAGCTCATTCTCTCAATGGGGCTAGTACTTGTTAAAGGCCTCGGCCCTCAGGCAGCCCCCAAAACACTAAAGGTTGTTACCCCAGAATGGGAGCCTGGCCACACTGTCTGTGCGGAGAAGGGAGATCATCTCTTCATTTTATCGCTCGTGCATCTGCTCCCACAAACAACTGCAGAATAATCTCTGCACTAAATTATTCAGACATTTTCCTGCCATATGTGCAAATACCATTCTGTAGTTTGCTTTTTTCCCTCAGACCTCTTTCTAATCAATAAGTATAGATCCACTTCATCATT